TTCGTTTTCATGGCCTGTAATAGCGTGGAATTTTTCATTGCATATTTTTTTGTAATAGTCGCCTTATGGCGTATCCATTCTGTAAATACATTGTTTTTATTTAATGTGCCCAATTTTATTCTGTAAAGGAGCTGTCCTAAATCTATTTTTTTTCTTCCCTCTTTTTGTTGTATAGCACATAATGCAATCATATTACATAATGTATGCCCGCTTGTGTCACAGTAACATTTTTTACGTTCTCATATACTTGAGATCTTTTAGTACACTATACACATTTTAATATTTTTCTTGTATTACCTCTCCTTACACAATACCCTTAGGGACCTGTAAGGTACTCTTAAATAAACAAATAAATAAATGCACATTTTTCAGCAAAAAAGAATAACTTCTACTTGTGTATGCTGACAACTAATGATAATGTCACAAGGACAAAGTCATACCACAAAATATTTCTAGTTTTTTTTAAAAAAAGCAGATGCATGTTGCTGTTTTATTTTTTCTCAGTGCTCTGATGCTTAAAGAGCGATAAAAGTCCTCAGATGCCAGCAGTGAAAGCTGGGGTTAGTGTTTAAAAAGCTGACATTAGAAAAATATGTGGTGGCCGGAAGGAATAATTTAGGTCACAACAGCTTCCTTTATTCAACGGATGAATCATGAATGCCAGCATGTTACCTTCGTTTACGTGCTTTTCTATGGCCGTGACACTAAAAATAATCACGGATTTAATAACACCATCTCAGAAAACCGAAATGAGGAATTTGGCTCAAGTTACCAAACACTACCTCTGGAATGCAAACTACCAGCAATAAATGTGTAGCTGAGAATGTTTGCCATTGCATCATCAATATTAATAATAGTAATACTACTATACTAATAATAAATGGCATGACATACGCTGGCAAGCCTTTGCTAATGGCAGTTCTGGCCTAACCACAAGGCCTTCAAGCCAAGCCGAAATCGTGGCCAAGACAAAAACATGGACAAATTTACCGACATGAGTAATGTTGTGGTTCGAAAGTCAGATATGCTGAGTGATACCGTATTTACTCGATTCTACCGCGCCCTCGATTGTAACGCGCACTCGGTTTTCACGACGAAAAAAAAAGAAGTAAGACATCGATTGCAACGCGCACCCATTTTTCTCCTTGGCCCGCACGATCACACTACTCGGGAAAATGACTCCTTTCGGGAGCGTCTTCCGTTTAAATATGAGGTAAGGGGGAAGCTTGTGCCTATCTGACGTGCAACGGAGCATTGCCGTCACTCTTGTTTTACCGTGGCCCGATGTCAGCATGCGAACTTGCTTCGCCCCCTTCTTCTCGACGGTTCTGGTGCCAGGCATGTCAAAGTAAAGATGCGCCTGATCGGCATTCCCGATTTGCCCAAGCAGGTAGCCGTTGTTGTGCCGCAAGTTAAGAACGAACCTCTGAAAACTGTGAAGCTTTTCTTCGTACTCCTCTGGCAAGTTTTGGCGCACGCCCGTTCGCTTTCGGAGGGAAAAGCATTTCCTCTTCATAAAGTTAGTTAGCCAGCACCTGCTCGCTTTGAACTGGCTCTGCGTTAGCCCTTTTTCTAAAGCTAACTGCATAGCCCGCACTTCGAGCAGTTCTGTCGTCACGAGCCACTGTGCCACTTGCTGCTCAAGCACATACTCGGCGAGCAGTTCTTCAATTTGCGAAAACCGACCCTGCTCTGGTCCACTGAAGCCTTTGAATAAATCTTTGACAATCTGCTTTTGTTTCCGCCAGTACCACACGCACGTTTCGGGAACTCCGAACGACCGGGATGCGGCCCAATTTCCGTCTGTTTCGGCACATGCGATGACTTTTCTTTTAAAAGCGGTATCGTGGTGCATTCGTCGAGTTTCTGAAGTCGGCCCTTCCATGCGGTCGATGCTAATAAACTACAAAATGACGAACTCCTCAGCACACGTACGAAGTGCCGCACATGGGAAACACATAGGCAGAAATGGCCGACGCGCCATGCCGAAGCATGTAGGGGGCGGCCATTTTGGAAATGCCGGTGGCAATAGAATGACCGTATTCATTTTTTTTCGCACTCGATTTTAACGCGCATGCGATTTATGAACTCGCTTCAACCGGAAAAAAGGTGCGCGTTAGATTCGAGTAATTATGGTATGTAGAGGCAACAGACATCAATATAGTGCATATACCAACTGGGAAGCTAAGGAATGCTTTAGTCAATGTGAAGGACAACTTGCATGCGGGATTTTTCTCAGACTTCTTTATGCCCTACGCTGCCACGATTGTGACAACCAGTACATCGGTGAGACCGAGACCCGTGTTTTCAAAAGAGCTAAACAACAGAAATATGACGTCACGAATCGATGCATGGCCTCGAATCCCCTCAATAAGCATGTGGAATTCACTGGCCACCGAATTGACTGGTCAAGCGTGCGTGTTCTGGCCAAAGAAAAGCTTGCGCCATGCCTGCACCTCAAATCCCTGCTCATACAGACAACTGCACATATGCTCAACAGGAGTGTTCGGATGCTTTTTACAATGTGCTCTTGGCGTACTTAGGTACGCCCTATACATTTCTCAGGGCTTTGCATTGTGAAGAAAGGTCCTGTATTCCGTCTCGTCGATAAAGTTTGTGTTATTTTGGTTGGTGTAAAGGTACTTTCATTTTACACTAAGAAGCGACAGTTATGTACTGCATTTTTTTTTTCACGTTCCACGTCTATTCTAGCTTTTCACTGTAATTCTAGCCTAAGGTGCTACGCTTTGATCAATGGTAATGCTTATTTTTTTGAATGGTCGCAAAGACTGTTGTCAGTTTTCTTGACCTGGCCATGTTTCTCAGAAATTCCCTGACTTTTCCAGAAGGGTGCGAATTCCCTGACCTTTCCAGCTTTTCCAGGTTCCTAGACACCCTGCAGTGGTACAAATATTGGCAGATGGTCTCGTTGGTATATGATGGAGAAGCACGATGGAGAAGCAAATTAGTGCCTGGAAGTTCTGCTGTATTCTCAGCAAATATTACCTCACGACAAGCCAGTATAGAAGATAAGGTACGTGGAGTGGACTGCTCAGCTGTCGGCGGTGGCAGGGTTGTGGTCATCGTACCAGCTGTTGATGGCCGCAGCTCAACGTGGTCGCAATGTATGATAAGCTCGATGTCGTTAGACAGCAAGAAATCTGCTCCAGGGACCATGCCAGCACTGAGGTCTTCAGAAACAGGAATAGCCGGAAGAACTTTAGTGCCCGCTGATGTCTGAACTGAAAAGTCAAACATGCCGACATTCACAGCACTTAATCTAAGTTTACAGAGGACAGGCTGCGTCCATGTCGGATAGTGTCCAGAGCATAATGCTCGCGTAGCACGATCTGTTCTGCACCTGTATCTACCAGAGTAGATAAGTCACCTATTCTCTCACATCCAAGGAATTTGACATGCCTGGTAGTGCATTCTGGTCTGCATCGATTGACAACACTCCTTAGCATCGTGGCATGATGCGACCACATTTGAAGCATCCATGTCCTGTTAGCGGGGCATTAAAAGGTCAGTCCTCTAAGATGTCGAAGCTCACATGACGATGAGCATTCTACTGAAATTCGGTTACCTTTTGAGTGAATACCTGGCGCGGCACTTCAGATGACAGGGAAGATAAGATAGCAGCATGTGTAGGGCCAACTAGCTCATCAACGATGTACTAGTATGCAGCCAGAGAGATCCATGCAATGCCACATTTGTCTGGAAGCTTGAGCTTATCAGAGACATATAGATGGACATCTTCCGAGAGAGCCTGCCGACTGCGATCACATGCTCATCAAGTAGTGGTCATATATAGATGGAAGCAGGTGGAAGGCAGTGACAAAAGCTGTATGTAGTCCAGTCACTCCAGGATTTTTACTTTCACCTATCGTATTGATGCCATGCTTTGGCGAAATCGCAATGTCGGATTTCAGCTAACAATAATGTCATGTCGTCAGTCTATGCATGTTGAGGAACTGACGAATTGATCTTGTGCAGCCAGATGGTTGGAATCTTGATCTATGACAGTAAATTTGTGCATTCCGGTGGTGGATGGAGAAGGCAACATGGTGCGTGCACAGACTGCTGAGAAGGAGACGGTGGTGTCTTCAAAACGTTTGGTCAAAGTAGCGATGGCCTGCATGAGTGCAGAGAGGCAAGAGATTTACGCATCACTTCTGGCGACTATACTGACGTTGCTTCAGTTGTGGTACCGGAGACAAAGTTCAAGGCAGCGCGTACAGTGTGTCTTAACAAGGAAGCAGTTCGCAAAGCCAAGTCAGTTGCGTATTGTGTGTATTTGCAATGACACTTGCAGGCCGTACACTAGCTGCGGTACCCGCGAACACCAGGCCGGACGTCGTGCTCACAATAGCAGAAGCAGCAGGACGCTGGAAAGCGCGTCCCCTCCAAAGCACCGTTTCTGCATGCAGGTCATCGCACAAAGGTTTATCAAGTGGCTGCGCCATTGAAGTGAGACAGACAGAACACCCGTTCGTTGATCAAGCTGTTCTATTCTGCCTTTTTTTCTACACTGTCCAGCCAGTGCGTCACATCTGCCATACCACTCTTCATTACAAAATGTAGTGAGAGAGGTTTACACTGCTCTACCTTTGTACATTTAAATTCATAGTTTAGCAGAACCAGTTCGAGAATTTGAAGTTGAGGTTTTTTATTTATATATAGCTTTGTCATTTGACAGCTGCCATTTGTTTCACTGAAATTTCTTTCACAGCTGCTATTTGTTCATGGGCTCGACAGGAAGAATAACAACTCGTAAACTTCTGCACGTAAAATACGTAGGCAAAAACACAAACATGAAGCACAATCTAACAACATTATTATTAGGAGAACAAGACCTTATCTACCTAATTACAGAACCACATTGCACATGACAGCAAGAACTTAAAAAAAATGCTGCACCATGTCTGTCACTCTGCACCTTTTAAATGCAACCATTTACAAAAGAACCAACCAGTGCAAGCTGTTAAGAGACCACTGACCTGAGAAAAAGCATGGCCACGAGCGAGTGAAGAAACACGTTCCCCATGTGGTATCCTATGGGCCGCAGCTCATGCAGCCAGTAGTTGAGCCGGAAGGTTAACACACATAGTGGCCGGTAGGACTTGTGGCTTTGCTCCTGCAGATGTTATCATTGTTTCGATGCTCCACAATGCAAGCGAAGGCAAGACATTAGTCTACAATTTTCTGAAACGAAATTGATTATGAGCGTGAAGCAAATAACTAAGATTGGGAGACCCATCATGTGATTTACTAAATTGTGCCATAAATAAGGCAAAAAAATTATTACTAGAAAACTATTGTCAATTTTGTAAAATACCCGCCACAATGCTTTTCATCACTTCAGAAGATGCGACAGCATCCGAATAGGATAACCCCCTGCTAAGATCGTAATGTGTGACCGTTCTTGACTGTGCTTCCGTCCTCTGCTTGTAAGTTTGTAGACTAGTAACTTCGATTTTTGAGGAAAACATTTTAGTCCGTTAGTCTCCACGCATCACTGAAAAGTGTTTACTATGTGAATTTTTTTTTTTTTGGGGGGGGGGGCAGGTTGGAGCAAATTGAGCAGCACTTCCACTTCTGCACATTGCAATGAGAGGTGCACGAGAGACCCAATACTTTTTTTTCCTGGAGATCTAGCGATTGCTTATACAGTCAAACAAACGTTTACATTGAAGTCAGTAATAATGGCTAAGCAAGCAGAAGACATACCTTGTGGATCGGCGTTCCCCAGAAATCATTCACAAACAGCCTGCCAATGGGTGTCGAAGGCCGCAAGTCCCGGTTGTCCCGAATAGCTGATGCGTCATCAAAGACAAATCCACAGCCGAGTGCGTTTACATAGCACAGCCAGGAGAGTGCGCATACGACCACGTACCAGCGCCAGCCAACGCGACAGCCGCCATACAAGCGCCATGTCAGCTTGCGGCCCCCGGACGATGCCTGCGAACAATCGGCCAGCCTCAGGGTTCTGGTAAAATTAGCGGCTTCAAGCATACTATTCTGATTTACTATGGTGACTTAGCGAAAAAAGGCCACGCAAGGCAAGCTTTAGCAGAAAGGCCTACAGACTCTTATTACTGGTTACAGACCCTCATTTATTGCCTGCCTAGTCCTCCAACAGCTCTACAAAAGACCAACATAAAAATAGAAGAATTACGAGAGATACACACAAGTGACCTGAGCATTCATACGCAGGAATTCAGGACATAACTTTCTAACCCCGTTTTTCAGACCACGAGGAAATTGCACCTTCAACCTTAAGAATTGGCACGAAGAGGCATTCAGTGCGACAGACAAAACGACATTATGTAAAAAACATGCTGATACCTCCATCATAAAAATCAATAAAACAAGAAAGTAAAATGTGTCCTTACTGAAGTAGCTTGATGTTTACTGTACACTGACAGAAAATTGCTTGTGCAATGCCTATTGATGTTTAGCAGCTACAGCACTGCTTAACGTCGACGCATCCACGTTGACGCTGAGTCATATACATCTCCATATCCTGACGACTAACGTATATCCTTAATGATTTAACAAACCCTTATGGTCACAGCTGCTTGTAGTAGCTGCAGTACTTAACTGAACCAGAGAAAGCAAGGTGACAGTCAGAACGTTACTGATTCATCGCCGAACTTCAGCTAACGTTCACTACTCACGGCATGTTGGTATTATTGTACACCACTGCCCGACCAGGAGGAAACGCCACGTGGTTCATGTCGTCACTTGGCAGGCCGCGATTTTTCGTGAGGCGAATCCAACTGAATAACGCGAAGTTACAACCAAGCAACGCAGACCTATTTTTTATATGAATAAATTTATGAACGACTCAAACGCTTCAGGTAAGGTCGCGCTTGTGTCGTGCACTTTCTTGTGTTTGTTTTTTTTTTTTGTCCTTTTTGTGCACTCATCGTGATGAGATGGGGTAAGGTTGCCACAGGACATGGGGGTGTGTTAAGGCATTCATAAAATTGTGCTTTTTTTCAAAACGAGCTGAATGAAATGCGCACTTATAAACGGCACGTTGAAGGAAGTAATCACGGATGTCACGGTCATGATGCGTTACTGCATGTGCTATACCAAAAAGCCTTTGAGAGGACAGCGGTAGATACAAAAGGTGTATTCTTTAAGTGAGCAATGCATGGGATTACGGCGAAGTGGATCGCGTCCCCAGCATCTGCTATCGCGGACCCGGAACTCATGGGTTCGATACTCATTGACGAAACTTTTTTCTTTGTCTTCTACTCATGCGTATTTTTACATGCAGGGGTGCAACACCCGAAACACAATTTAGAGCAATTTTTAGAGCAGCAAAATGTTACTTTTAGAGTAATAAAATCCAAATTTAGAGCAAGTTATGGGGAAAAGATTCATTTTTATTCACAGAAGACTAAATATCGAGCAACATGAAAAAGAACACTTAAATTTAGAAAAAAACATCAAGTAGAAACATTCAATGTTTGCTAAATTGGGCAGAGTAAATGGGAACACTGCCATTTCTATAAAGTAGTACTTTGAAACTTCTTATTCAGCAAACAATGATAAAATCCTATAAAACGGGATCTGTAATAGGATATTTTTTGTTGTGTCTTTGGTGCTTTCGGTAATACAGTGTTTGTTTGGTTTGGATAATTTTGCTGGTACCATGACAGTTAAATTAACAAGCTTTTACTATAATGCTTTTCGTTACTGGCACTAAGAAGGGTGGGCAGAAGAGTTTGAAAAAAAAAAAAACTTAGTATCAGTTTTCGCCAATTTAGAGAAGTTGGAGGAGGGGACACTTTCTATCAAATCACAATCACAAGGTCACAATCTGCTGAGACTATCAGGACACAATCCTATATTGACAAACAGGCTTGCGAATCTAAATAATACAAAATTTTTAGCTCTGACATGCATTTGTATATTTTTTAGGCTGGATCAATTTATGTACTAGCCGTGTCGCCTCTCTCTGCAAGTGTTGTGTTTTGTTGCTTTTACCGAAAACACACTGGAAAAAATTTGGTGAGATTAGCTTGCCAGACATGGTGAAGAGAATTGAAAGAGACATGCTTTCGGATAAGGTGACTACAAATTACATTTGGCTAAGTGCCGCTTCAGAAGACAGCACGCTGCCAGATCCTGCTTGGTATGTTTCTTTCTGCATTACATCACCTATTACATTATTACTGGCATACTTGCACAGTATACTTAGCTGCTCAACACCTGAATGTAGAGATCTGATTATGGTGGCTTATGTGAGCAGCAATTAACGGGAGTGTTTCTTAACTCAATATTTCAGAAATTTCAGTGGCAGAGAAAGCTCATAACGTTAGTAAGTCAAACAAGTTGGTTGTTCAGACAAATGTCCGTTGTTCAAGTGTTCTTACACTCTTTTTATGATCGAGAGTAAGCACAGTTTAGGATTAGTGTCCTCAAGGGTATTCGCACCTAAATCCCTGGATTGATTGATGACACAAATAACACCAGGCCAATGTGGCCTCCATTTCTCATTGAAATTAGCGCAACTGAAAGGAGTATTGAAATAAAATTTCAAAATCGAGATGTGCCGTTCATTCGATTGCTTGGTGTACGTATCAGTTTGGCAAATTTTGAATCACGTGGAAGTCAATTTATTTCGACGACAAACAGCGTGCAGGTACTTTATGTAAAATGTAGTGTTTCTGCGACATCGACACAAGCGCTACGTGTTGGGTGTGATACATTTCATACATACCATCCTGAGTGCACAATGCGCTAGTAGCGATGACGTCTACGATCTGAGTGTTCTTAACCTGGCGCCAAAGCCTCGAAACGCACTCACTCGTCATGTTTGATGTTCGTCATACTGCTTTGAATGATTTCATGAAATCACCATAGAAGATCAGCAAAAGAAAAAAAAGAGCATGATTTAATGAGTGCTCGTCAGTCAGGGTATCAGGAAACAGTTGTGAGTTGCAGTCGTCAGCTGGTTCGAAGCACTGAAAAAGCGCAATGACGGTGTCTTTTCATTTTGTGCATGTTACACGCCAACACGACCACAAGCTATCAAAGTGCAATAGCGTATGGACAGAAATCATCGCTAACCAGTAACACGCAGGTATCGTTAATAGCAAATTTTAGCTTCATCAGTAGAATACCGGGTTACTGTTGCCACCAACGTGAAAGGCGAAATAGGTGGAGCCATCTAGAGGCACAAGGAAGAACCTGGGAGCAGGGAACGTATTCTATTTCTCAGCTGGTGCGCTGCCCCTATACTGTTATTCCATTGACCCCTTCGCGTATATTTTAGATGATAATAAACATACGCATGACTTAAACAGTCTGTTATTATCGTCGGGATTTACCAATCTAGTCGCTACAGCAACAAAGTTTACTCAATCAACATCATCTGCCCTCAACCTTCTTATTAAGAATATAGAAACATCTGTGCATTTCGTGGGTACAATTTATAATAATATTAGTGACCATCATCCGGTATTTATAATGTACTTATTGGAGAATACCAAACCAAACAGAGAATTACTTGCTTACCAAGATATTTCTAATGTAGCGCTGGATTTATTTCATCTAGCTGTGGATGCGCACAATTGGGATTCCATGCTAACAAACATAAACAAAGCATATAACGAGTTTCTTGAAGCTTTTGTGGGCATCTACAATGCGCATTTTCCGTTCGAACAAGTTACGAAATCAAAAAAAATTAGAAAACAGGTTATGAGAGAGCACATGAAAACGATAAAAAGTAACAACCGTCTTTATCATGCATTTCTAACCTCCAGATCAGAAATTAGACTTGAGCAATTCAAGGCTGAAGCAAACACACTGAATAAAACATGAAGACAAACGAAAATAGAATACTTTAATCACATGTTTTCTGAAATTAACAGGAAGTGGCCAGATGCTGTTTGGAAAGTAATAAATAGCGTTTTAGGTCGTCAGACTAAAAGTGATGTACCCAAATCGATAACTTATAGAAATTGTGTATTGAGCGGTAAAATATTGGCAGACCACTTTATGCTCATTTTGTGAATGCAGGCGTTATGCACACAAGTGACATCCAAGTAACATATTCAATAGATAAAAGTTTTACGGAAACTATACTTATGTGGAGTCAACCGACAAACAAGAGGTGTTCAAATAACAAAGTTACATAATAGCAATGCATTAGATGTAGATAATTACAAATTAAACCAATCAAATACATTTTAGATCACTTAACACTTATTCGTGCGTTAGTTCACATATTCAACTTGGCAATGGAATCGGCGACTTTTCGTGACTTCATGAAATGATACAGAGTCATTAAAACTTGATGATATAAATAATATTTCCAATTACTTTCCATTATCTATTCTGCCCATTTTTTACATTTAAAGTGCTATAAAAAGTTATTGCGGCACGCCTGACCAAGTTTCTTGACAAAGATAACGTGATAACAAGCTCCCAGTTCGGCCTCAGAAGTGGTAGATCAACTAAAGCAGCCCTTTTATCTTTTAAAGAAAGTATTGTTCAAAGTAAAGACAATGGAGAATTTGCCTTCAAACTCTTTATTATTTTAGCAAGGCATTTGATTGCCTCAGCCATAACATTCCTATACATAGGCTATCAGTATGCAAACATCCACTTGCTTTGATGAAATCTTATCTGCCGGAAAGAACTCAGCGGGTATGCATGAAACGTGCTATCTTCCTTCTTAACCTTTAAAAATGAACTGCCGCAAGGAATTTTTTTCGGCCCGCTATTATTTAACTTATGAATTAATTACTTAATAAAGCCCACAGTTGATGTCTTTATATATGCGTATGATAGCACTATACTCTTCGCTGGAAAGATGCAAACAAACTAATAATCACATGTAACACATTGCTAATAGAACTATCATATTGGTCCCTTTCAGATGTGATCCAAATTAACCCCTGCAAAACTAAAGCGGCTCTTTTTAGAGCCAGAAACAAACA